CATAATGTTGCGAATATTCAAATGACAACCCAACAAACCTTTTGGTTTTGCATCGCTGTCCCATAAAATCCGTGCATGATTTACAGTTTTAAAGAGATTGATCTGATGCTATTTCACAATCGCAGGATGTAGACTGCGCTTGAGTCCAACCCCTAAGCTCCCCTGCTGCAAAACCTTCGCTTGGTGTTGTATACCTTCAACAAGTCCAAGTGTTCAGTTGCCGGCCCAGGGTTTAAATTTCTCCCAGGAGTCCATGTGGCACAGGAATGCTCGAACCAGCTTTTGTCGGCCCGGGGTTTAGATGTACGTCTCCAGATAGTAACCGTAACAGCAAACATACCCTTCACTGAAAATATACTATTTGTTATCTACTCAAAATATATGTAGAAAGTTACCATATGTTGATGTAACGGTTTGTCTGCTGGTCACATGAACAGTCTTTGAAGAGAGAGCTGATGACACTAACAGGAGCCTGACCTTTGCACTCATAACGTTCTGGTTCATTTAAAAAGTTTGTTTGAACAACAACTTGTCAGGGCATATGGCAGATACAGATATGAGAAAAGACTTTCCAAATGCAACCCATGTCAACATGATACGCATTCTTTGGATACCCGCTGATTTCCGGAGTTGTGAACTACACTTGAATGAAACAACACACATGAGGTATTCATAAGGTGCGACTTCTGGGGGACAGTGGGCCTTCTGAGAATATTTAATTGCACTTAAAGGCAAATATTAAGCTAAATTAAAAAGCGCACACATCTCCCAACCACATCAGACTCATGATGTCATGTGCTAGAAAATACCTGCACTGTTAAAACCTAGTATACAATATGTTACATTTAAACTGACATTTTTAGGTGGAGCATGTCTTGTGTATATGACTGTGTATATGTATATGATGTATATGATTTTACTTTTCTTATTTCTACAACGAATTAATGCCACTTTTGTCAGACAGATTTGAACTACAACAGATAACACGTCGCTTTTCTTTCAGAATTATTAATTTCAAATTATTTTCCATGGGGTGTTTAACATTCACTGAGTAGGCCTACATGTCTTAATTCCAGTTTCACTGTTAAAACCAGTATGGGTTACAAATGTTTTATGTTAATATGTTTTTAACGGTGATCTCCAGGTATCCATACAAAGCTCCTTACTAAAAAAGAAAGGAACATGTGAGTACGCTTCAACATGTATTATACAATATTTTTGCATGAGTGCCATTGTTTCATGTCTTTCGTGTTTATTACCATTTCCTTAGGTTATTATTTTTGACTCAAATAAATAGATATAGAATAAACATTATCGTCCATGATTTTCCCAATACAGACCCCAAAGATAATATCCAAACATAATCTTCATCTGAATTATGCGAGTACAAAATGCACATGTAAATTCAACAGGCCTATAAGAAAAGTGCAATAATGCATAGAGAATAAAGAAAATCTCTCTTGATCTATTGTGACTGGCATTTTACAGATGATCAGGATTACGGATGACACTGTTCACATTTTGTTTGTCGGACTATATATGTCTTAAGGTGAGTACTTCTCTTTGAGAGCCGTCAGCATTCGGTGTTTATAGAAATAAATGAAAATTAAGAACATTTTTACTTGAGAGTGTTTGACTAAATTGTTATTGATTTTAGGACAATTAACCATCTCCATATATATACGATGAACCGTCAACATGAAAAGTAAGTCTGGCTGTTTTACACTTACAACTATTACAACTGAAACACACTGTATCTAACCATTGCGCTGAAAGCTACACAGTAAAATCCTAAGTGTTAAATTAACACTGCTCGGAGCATATACTGTATGGTCTAAAAGAGTGTTAAAGTAACACTGCAGCAGTGTTAAAGTTAATGAGATAGTTATGTGATTAATTAAGTGCTGATTGATCATTAGTAATGAACACCTGATGTTAACAAGCAGAATCACTGAAGAAAAGAAAAACACAAGAACTACAACTGACTTCAGCCACAGCCTTAGATGAAATCAGCTGAAATAAAAGACATTAAACCTCTCAAGATCTCAGCAGAAGATAATTAAACAACTCCACAAACAGTATCACCAACTTCATTCATTACTAAGCAGTTTGACTTTATTTCTGGAGTATCTAAAACAGAAGTTCTTTATTGAGAATTAAGGTTTAGTTTTTTTTTTTCAACTTACTGTTTTGGTGAATAGTGTTTGCTTTAGTTGCCTCTTGACCCTTGACTTGTTAAATATAAGTTTCTCTTTGGCTGTTACAATTGTGTTTATAAAGCACATATGTGATGGCAAGGAACTTATGATAAAATCGTTTCATGCGTCTGAGTCTCTGATTGCATTTTATCAAAATATGTAGTGGTTTTATGATTTCTGTATTATTGCAGTTCTATGATATGAGACAATATGATAAAAATTGATAAAGCACTTTTAGAAATATGGCTCACAAAGAGGTTTCAATTCTGTCACTCATAGACATGATGAATCAGCATGTGAATCTCAGCAATGGTGACAAAATATTCTGATAATTTTTATATGATTTTTGAACGTCACAAAACAAGGCAGTAAAAAGTCACAAAAAATAACAGCAAACAGTAAGAATAAAAGAAAATCTTATTTAAATAGTTTTTAAAGTTCTTCATATTATTTCAATAAAATGCAGTTATGATCCATAAAAAAAAACTAAATTACACATCATTACTGATGATGTCAGTGAATCAGGCCATGCATGATATCTAAAACGGCCAATATTACTTGATCACATTCTCTCTTGTTTTGTCTTGCCATAACAAACTTGTTTCATAAACACAGTTACAGCAACCAGAGAAAAACTAATGTTAGAAAGTCAAGGGTCAAGAGCCCAACTAAAGCAAACACTTATCTGCACAATGGTGACTTCAACATCTAAACCTCTGCTAATTCTTAATAAGATTTTTTTTTGATGCATGACAAAAAAAGTTAAACTGGTTAGTAATTTGTGAAGCTGGTGATGTTGTTTGTGGAGTTGTTTAATTATCTTCTGCTGTGATCTTGAGAGATTTAATGTCTTCTTTTATTTCAGTTGATTTAATCTAAGTCTGTGGCTGAAGTCAGTTGTAATTCTTGTGTTTCTCTTTTCTTCAGTGATTCTGCTTGTTAACAGCAGCTGTTCATTACTAATGATCAATCAGCACTTAATTAATCACATGATTATCTCATTAACTTTAACACTGCTGCAGTGTTACTTTAACACTCTTTTAGAGTGGGACCATATATGCTCCGAGCAGTGTTAATTTAACACTCAGGATTTTACTGTGTATGCATTCAGTAAAGTTTGAGGATGTTCCACGCTCTTGAAAAGCTATAGATACATTTCAATCATAATCTTTAAACAGGATTTATGCGTGCACAAAACCCTTATGTAACTCAAGGGACCAAATCACTAAGAAAATAGAGTACAGCTTACAAGAAAAGTACAGTTTCTAATGAATACAGAAATATTTTTGTAAATATTGTTTTAAATTACCTTTTCTTTTCTCCACTAGATTTAGTCATTTTGTTAAGATAGCAGATGACACCATTCACATTTCTTTGTTTGGTTGCATTTGTTTTAGCTGAAGACTCCTCTCTGGATGCGGTCAGCAAAACACTGTAAGTTCACACTAATCCTCAAGTGTGTGTTCATTGGAATTCATGAAAACATGATCAAATACAGCACAAGGAAATCAAATGGAAGTTGTTCTTGAGAGAGTGTTTAAACTAAAACTGTTATCTACTTTTAGGACATACTTCTAGAGTCCTTATCAGGTCAAGAAAATATGATCATATTACCCCAA